TTGCCCAGTTACAACATCTGCAAGCACACCCCTGCCTCTGCTGGGCCATTTAGTTGCCTACCCTGCAAGTCCACCTTCAGACCGCCCCCTCCATTCTGCTTTTGGGTTGTTCTCTGTTAAACCTGTAACCTGAGTTGCTAGTAACATTCAGTTGACTAACCCTTGACCCTGTTATGTCAGCTCCACCCAGCTCCTGCCATTTATGGGCCCCCTGCCTAGACTTCCCATGTATCTATACCATATTTGTAGATACTGAAAAGTCAGTCAGAAAATCAACCAAAGTTTCCCCCCTTGTTCTAGTAGACTTTCCCATCTGCAAATTAGGGCCCTGACATTATACTGGGCACAGTACTCCTGGTCTGAGTTGCTGAGGCTGAAGCCCTCCAACACATTGAGTCGTTTTCTCCCACTTAGAATCCAGTCTTTGACAAGCATAGTGGGAGACTTTTTTAACACTGAAACATACATTGCTACATTGCCCCACTTTGGCACTTTCTGTCATATCCATACCAACTCCGCCTCACCTCCACTCCACTCTGCCACTGCTCCGTTCCACCTCCACCTCACCTCCACTCCACTCCGCCACCGCTCTGTTCCACCTCCGTTCCATCCTCCCCTCACACCTCCACTATACCCTCCAGTTCACCTCTGGTTCACCTCTGCCTCTGATCTCTGGTACCTTCTCTGGTACCTCTTATCCTCACCTTATACGTTTATTAATATTTCTACCTACCCAATATTACTACGGACCTCCTAGGACCTCCACTGTCATATCCATGCATACCCGACCCCTACCCAACTTCCGGACCTCCACCCTCTTCACCTCCGGAGTCATACCCTACCGCTGCCGTTCCGATACTCACCTCCGGTCCTGGCAACACACCTCCTTCTACCCTCCCGTCACCCTCCTATGCTTCCCCCGTCCGCTCCGATACTCACCTTCAGACCTGACAACTCTCCTTTCCGCCACTCCTCCTCCCTTACCTTTCCCCTCTCTCCTCCCTCTGGTACTCCTCCGCCACCCTCCTGCCAAGTTACGACCTTCCACCGCTGGCCCGTACTTTGTACTCAGACACCTCTCGTACCTTTGCTCCGAGCCTCCATCATAGTCCCTACCTTGGACTTTGACTCCACCTCGGTCTTAGTCCATTGCATTGGTGACCTCATACTACGTAAACACCATTGCCAATATCCCTCGGACTTTCAACCCCACCTCCGTAACCTCCGTAACCTCCGCAACCCCTGAGCTTCGCAGATCGCCTTCGGCACTTTCGCCGCTTGTAATGTATCTCTCGCCTTTACCCCCCATCCCTATTTGGACTACTGCTTCTTCCCATTCTAGCCAGTTAGTCATCATCCCCACTTCTCCTCATCCTCCTGCCCCTCTGGGCCTCGCCCTCCCTACCTCCTTTCGGACATATCACAGGTCCTGCCTTATGACCTTCGGTACTGCTCCGCTTCTTCTACCCTTTGTTCCCGTTTGGACATCTTCATTCCGATTCGGTACCCTTTGTTTTCCTTGTGCTTTTGCCCCCTCCATTATATATATCAGCACTTGTACATACTCGTTTTGGTTCAGTCCGAAATCGACTTGAAATGCCCCCTAGAGACTTCCTGCTCACCTACTGTGAAATTAAGGACTAAATGGACAAACAGCAATGGCACAGCGCTCCGCTTGAGTCGCTGAGGCCAAGGTCCCTCCACGCTAAGTCTCCGATTCCACTCCGGAGTCGTCCGAATCTGCCCAGTTCTAACATCCACCCACTCTGCAAAGGTTTTCCCACTCTCCAGTAGCTGTTGCTAATTCCACCCTTCACCTACCCACTCCACAATGCCTGATAAGGTGATTCTCTCACAAGCTCGCTGACCCGGCAAGTGGGTAAGTCCCCCTTGGGTTTTCCCCTTTGCTTTGTTCCCATTTGTCTTCTATTATGTATATAAGTCCTGTACTGTAGTTGATGGCACCTCAGTTCAAAATCGACGACTAGACTACCCCCCAGAGTTCGTGCCCCCTTGTTCTGAAAGTTAAGGACCAGACTCCTAAGTGTTACTGAATGTAGGCACAGCGCTCCTCTCTGAGTCGCTGAGGCTGCAGTCCTTCCACCCGTTCTCTACCTCTGGCCTCCTTCTGGGGAAAGGTCCAGGGACACTGCCCTCCTCGCCATGTTCTTGACACTTTCCAATGCACATTGAATTATCAAATGTAAGGTTGGTGTCACGACCAACAAATCCCAGGACTCTGTCAGCGGCGAACCAATGCTGATAGGCGAATCCGCTGACCCGAAACCCATCCTAACCAGCCCCCAACCCGATGTCTGGCCCCCTGCCTTATTGTGTGAGACTTGGCCAACAATCAGAACCTAGACCCTGCCGGCATTCCGACCTTACCTCCAGTTCCTGAGCCCTTGGCACTCCCGACATTCAGTCCCTCCAGTTCCTATGCCAGCCCTGTCTCCATCTGAACCACACTCATTGCTTCCCGCTATGTGGTCACAGCCATGCCCCGCTTCCATGCATTCCGCACCCTCTGCCCACTCCATGCCCTCTGCCCATCTCTGCACCCTCTGGCCACTTCTGGTTGCCCTTGACACCTCTGGTCAGGTCAACACTCCCACTCCCCTCTGTACCTCTGTTGGCCTTCATGCTGTCCTTGTGTGACAGTGCTGACAGATCAACCTCTGTTTGCGGACTTGTGTTGGCACTGCACCAACCCCGCTTATTTGCGGACTTGTATTGGCACCGCATGCTGACCTCCGCTTTTGTCCTCTGGCCATTTTTGTCACTCGGCAACATAACATTCATTCCTTGCCGAGTGCCTATTATGTTCACCCCAATATTGGCATTTGATCCGTGTGCTATTGCACTTTCCTATTCATTCATTTAATCTGTCAATATTGGTACTTGATTTTATTCATTCCTTGGTTTAGTTTGACAAGTCCCCGCTCATTTCCGCTTATTTCCGCACCAGACCGACCAGTCCCTCTTTTGATTTCTCTTATCTACTTATACCTTGTAAATACTTTCGGGGACCTCAGTCTGAAATCAACTAGAGTACCCCCCCCTGTCTGGTCTGAGTCTCTCCTTCTGCAAAGGGGGCTTCCCCCCTCTGAGTCTGTGCTCGCGGAGTCTGCGCTCCTCCTACAGGTCCACTCCACCTGCAAGTCTTGTTTGAAGTCCGCTGTGAGTGTCAATCCATAAATATGGGATCTCCCCCAAACGTCAAGCTCAGGGCACAGCGCTCCACCTGAGTCACTGAGGCCGCGATCCCACTCTGCTAACCTTGAACAGCGCTTCCGGGCGCACCGCATATTTCTGCCCGCATATCCGCACGCATGCTCCAACAGACCTCTGCATCACCTTCGACCTCAACTCAGACAGAACCCAATCCGCCTTCTATCCACCTTCTGACAGTGTTCTGACTCTGACAGTACTTCCAACTCTGACAATAATCCTGTCTCTGACAGTTGGTGTAGGTGCCAACCTTGTATCTCCTCACTCCTCAAGTCCATCAAAGATATAAGCTTGAATAGAGCTATATTTCAATGAAGTGGAGGAAAGGAGTGAAACTCCATTCATCATACCCCACATCATTTATATATGTAATTACATGTGTTGTATACTATTTATAGCAGGGCATTCCTTGCATCAAAAAAGTTATTTTAATTTTTTTCCAATTATTCCTAATTTCCTGAAATATCTCTCCCCAACTTATCCCAAAATTTCTGATTTTCCCCCTGATTTCCCCTGATTTTTTGGACATTCTCCTTTTTGTTTAGAAAGTCCCCTATTTTCTGAAATTTCCTTAATTTTCCCTGACTTTTTCAAGTTTTTAGAAACCCCCCAGTTCCCCCTCATTTTCCTCCCATTTTCCCCTTCAATTTCCCCCTTCAATTTCCCCCTTCAATTTCCCCCTTCAATTTCCCCCTTCAATTTCCCCCTTCAATTTCCCCTTCATTTCCCCCCCCCCCATTCCCCCTTTCAATTTTCCCCTCATTTCCTCCTTAATTTTCTCCTCATTTCCCCCTCATTCCCCCCATTTCCTGTCAGGGCACACCCTGACTAGCCTGGACCTGGACCTGGATCCAGACCCACTACACTTCCTGCATGCACACTTCCCATGCTGCATGATCCAGCCCTGGATCCTACCTCATGTGACTTCTGGGTATCCCTGGAAGTTTTCGCCATATTGGGGCCACTGTGGGAAAGCAAGAAGTTAACCTTCTTCTCACTTTCTTACCCACAGTAGCTCTCTGCCTTGAGACTAGGCTGTTACAGGTTGGGCTGTGGGCCATAGAGAGAGGGGTCATGGGGACCCAGGGATCATCCCCTATTTCCCCACTCATTTTCCCTAGGTAATTTCAGATTAACTGTATTTATATCCCTATACCCTTGGTGTGCAAGTGCCACATTGGGGCTGAAAGTTAAGCTGAGTTTGTTCAGTTTCCTGTATGGTAGGGACTTGGCTATGACTAGTCACATGATGCCATAGTCGATGCTTTTAAATTTATATCAGGTAAATTAAATACTCAGGGAGCTCATATACATAGATAATACTGTACTGGCATGACCAACAACTGGTCACATGTCACATGAGGACTTTAAAAAATTAACACAATTGAATTAATTAGCAGCCTCCAGCAACTTGTGGAGGCTGTGGGAACCAGTTGTTGGTTGTGCCAGTACAGTAGTCCCCTGTGTGCAAATATAGCTCTATGAGCTTTCAGAGAAGGGGACCTGCAATTTCAAAGGACTGAAGCTTGAGAGCTCTGAGACCTCCTCATTCAGGTTTGCTGATGTACCTTGAATGAAATTCTCTCTCTTTGCAATCTCCCTATGCTTATGCCTGCTGACATTGATGGTTCCCACACAGATGGTCACTATGACAGACCACACAATGCATTGTTGAGTTTAAGAATGAGCTCAGTGAGGTCATCAGTTCAATGCCTGTGGTTCAGCTCACCTCTTATGTTGCACATTCACATGCAATTGCAATGGATTCTCAAGCATTATTCAAGGCATGGAGGGTCCCATGCCTTGGTCTGACTATTGCTGGTAAGTTGAATGTCTCCAGGTCTTTGGATGAGTCCAGTATGATGTGCATTGTGACAGGCCCATATATTACTTTCCATGCTGTGATTTACCTTGGTCAGTGGTGCATCAACTTGACTTCCACACTATTATGCATTGCATTTGCATGTGATGGTTGTGATTGGAAGGCACTCTATGCTGCTTTTTCTGCTGCATTGGACCTATTGAGTCACATAGACTCTGATGCAAAACGCTTCATGGCCACACCACCCAAGCTTGAACATGGTTATTACACACTCCCATATATTTTGGAGCTGCCTGGGTATATCAACAATCTGAAAATCAATTTCCAGATTCTTGAGCTTCACCCAGATGTACATGATGACTGCCTTTTTGTGCAAACAAAGGGCATGCACCAAAAATTCTCAGCTATGAGTCACTACCAGGAGGTTGGTTTGCCATTGCCATGGATTACATCACCCCCATTGTACACCCCCTTGAATCTGACACCTTGTGGATCACTGCCAGAAGTGGGTGGATGAATTGCACAAGCTCATGAAATCTTTTCATTTTGCTGGCTTTGTTCATGGGGACCTCCATGAACTGGATATTCTTTGCAATGGAGACCAGGTGATGTTAATTGACTTTGGGAAGGTTGGGAAGGTAAAATATCCATCAGTGCAGCTTTGTCCTGAGCTCATGGATGGGCAAGATGTGACTGATCTGGAGATCATGGAAGCTGATGATGTCCAGGTTTTAGGGAATGTTCTCCAAAAACTCAAAGAAAAGGCAGGTTGCTTGTGACATCCCATGTTTTTTCAGCTTTTGTGTTTTGATATCCTGTCCATTGTGTTAGTACATATACAAAACTGCTACTCTGTAGCATGTCCTGCAAATTTTCTGACCTTGATTGAATGTGATGGATGACAAGGTCCTTGTTAGAAGGTGGACTCCTGTCAGAGCACCACTTCAGGTCCATGCACACAGTAGTGCATGGGAAATGGGCCCAATCTCCATCATCCCACTCTGATCCAGAGAGATCCAATTGCCTCAATGTTTCTGATCAGCCTGATCTAGCTGATCTGATTTGATCTGAGCTCCACTGTATTGATTAGGTAGTCTATGCAGTCTCTATGTATATACAGAAGCACAGTGAGTGGGTTTGTCCCTTGCTCTTGTTATTGACTAGGTTACTGGGACCACTGCTAGTGTGGACTGATGCACTGTAAGCAGGATGACCTACTATACTACCCCATACTGCCAGGATTTCTGCAGTTTACATTCCTTCTGCATGTGAGGACCACCTAGTAATGCCCACAGTGCATAAACAGATTTTATTTCATTTTTATATTATTGTTTAATGTTCTCATTTCATGGGACTAATAATGGGGCTACTGTTACAGAGTTGGGTTTTGGGAGACCCACTCTGACCTTTTCTTATAGGCAAGAACTTGAGCTTGTCAGCCTCATGGGAGCAGGGTGGTTCGATTGCTGATACTGTGGTTGATTCACCTGAATAATGGTCAATATATGATGCACACATTGATCCATGCTGTGAGGTTAGTGTTAGAACATGCAGTCTCAGATGGTTCCGGAATGGAATCAGAGACTTAGCAAGGAGGGACCTTGGCCTCAGTGACTCAGCATCAGGGATGGCTCAAGAGAGGTGGGGGTAGTGGCCTGGATGGTGGCAGGGTGGTGGGATCATATGGTGGGCAGCCCTCACTTGGGCTTGTGTCCCTGTGTGGCTTCTTAGGCTGAAGCGGGAATGTATTATTATTAAGATGAAAAGCTAGACTAGGTTGGACTACTTGCCTGAAGCGGGAATGAGAAGAAGGCTGCTTCTTCAGTCCTGCTTCAGCTAAGTTTATATACATATGAAAATGGGTCACATGGAGGTGCCACGTTGTAGGTGGGATAATCGCCCACACACAGAGCCAGCTTGGATACCCACTTCCATGATTAGAAAACCACTTCTATTCACACGATGACTTGGTATGGATTTGGTACTTAAAAATAGTGCTAATTCATACGATTCCGACGATATCAAGAATGTCCCAATCGGTGGAGATGTCAGAGACTGGAGATTATTGTCAGAGTCGGAAGTACTGTCAGAGTCGGAACACTGTCAGAAGGTGGATAGAAGGCGGATTGGGTTCTGTCTGAGTTGAGGTCGAAGGTGATGCAGAGGTCTGTTGGAGCATGCGTGCGGATATGTGGGCGGAAATATGCGGTGCGCCCGGAAGCGCTGTTCAAGGTTAGCAGATTGGGATCGTGGCCTCAGCGACTCAGGTGGAGCGCTGTGCCCTGAGCTTGACGTTTGGGGGAGATCCCATATTTACGGATTGACACTCACAGTGGACTTCAAACAAGACTTGCAGGCAGAGCGGACCTGTAGGAGGAGCGCGGACTCCACAAGCACGGACTCAGAGGGGGGGAAGCCCCCTTTGCAGAAGGAGAGACTCAGACCAGACAGGGGTACTCTAGTTGATTTCAGACTAAGGTCCCCGAAAGTATTCACAGGATATAAATAGGCAGGAGGGAAACACAGAAGGACCAGTCAGTCCGGTGTGGTCTGGCATGGAAATAAGCGGGGATTGTCAAACTGAATGAAGGACAAGAGCCCGGGAAATGGGAGGCAATGAACTAAACAAAAGCGGATCAAGTGCCAATATTGACAGGTAATAAGAAGTGCATCAGCACATGGATCAAGTGCCAATATTGGCAAGTTAAGTGAATGAATGGATGAACAATATAGGCACTTGGCAAGGAATGAATGGTATGCTGCCAAGTGACAAGATGGCCAGAGAAAAGCGGAGGTCAGCATGCGGCGCCGATACAAGTCCGCAAATAAGCGGGGTCGGTGCGGTGCTGACACAAGTCCGTGAAGGGACATGGAAATCAGCACGGTGCTGACAAGTCCGCAACAGAGGGTGGTCCATCAGTGCCGTCACAAACAAGGGCAGCATGATGGCCAGCAAGGTTGGAGGGGAGTGTTGGCCTGACCACAGGGTGTGGAGGGTGACCAGGAGTGGCAGAGGTCCACAGGGTGTGGAGGTGGGCAGAGGTACAGATGCAGGTGGAGGTCTGGATGCAGTGCATGGTTGATAGGGCAGGGGGCCAGACAGTGGGTTGGGGCTGGTTAGGATGGGTTTTGGGTCGGCGGATTCGCCTATCGGCATTGGTTCGCCGCTGATGGAGCCCCGGGATTTGTTGGTCATGACAGGAGAATTGACAGAGTTCTATGCTGGGCAAGTTAGGCATGGCAGGTCACAAGCATGTGCGGGCATGGGAATCTCAAGCAGCAACCCAGAATTCCAGCCTCACTCGTTCCCATGGCATCTGATAAATTGATAAAAATGCTCATTGGCTGCATGAGAGTTATCTCCAGCTGCGTTTCCAATTTCGGCTTTTAATTCTGTAAATCTGTTGAGATATTGCTTATTTTCTTATATTTGCCATCATTTCAGTTATTGATTGATATTCTTTTATTGTTACTGTTACCCTTTTTATTATTTTGCCTAATAAGGTACCCAGGTGCCATATGGTACCAATATTCACCATCAATTATTTCTAAAAATAATTATTCCTTATATCCTGTACATACCAGATTTTTGAAAAGAAGTTCTCCTCTCCCCCAATTTTTCTAAGGTGCTAGGATGCGCTAGAGTGGGTGTGAGTGAGTGGAATTCCAACAGTAGGAATAAGGGCAGCTGTCTAGCCCACAACGAGTGGGTAGTAGATTAGTTGAGCCTGGACCTTGCAGAAATCCCGGAGAACCCACCATGGAGTTGAAGGATTGAGATAAGTTGAGTTATGCAAGAAAGTAGAGCTTAGGGAGAGTCTGGCCCCACGAGCTTAGTCAGCATAGAGAGCCGCGAGCCCTCTTTCAACGTCAGCCTCAGACAAAGCCAGGTTGTTGTGGGTGGCTCTGCAGTCAATCCCAAGTGTCAGAGAAGAGAAACACAAGTAAGAATGCATGGCATGTCTGGTGTCACGGTACCCATGCAGGGTGCTCAGTGTTGGACACGTCCATGCTACAGATGGGAAGTTGTCTGTATAAGGATAGAGAGGAAGAAGAGAAAGGAGAGAGAGAGAGAAAGGAAGAAGAAGAAAGAGGAAGAAAGAAGAGGGAGAGGGGAGCGGTGTGGCATGCCCTGACACTCAAGTGGAGTGCTGTGCCATTGCAGGTTGTCCTGTTGGTCCTTAATTTCAGACATTGCAAGGGTTAAGTCTCTAGGGGGCAATCAAGTCGATTACTGACTGAGGTACAAATGAGTATGTACATCGTCTATATATAAAGGAGAGACAGGAGTGCAAAGAACAAAGGGGGTCCAAAATGGAACAAAGGTGTCCAAATGGAGACAAAGGGAGTAGTGGATCAGGAACTACACTGAGGGTCAAGGGTTAGACTCTATGGTGCATCTGAAAGGAGGTAAGGAGGGCAAGGGCCCAGAGGGGCAGGAGGGTGAGGGGAAGTGGGGTGGATGATACACTGGCTAAATAGAAAGAAGCAGTAGTCCAAATAAGGGTGAGGGAGAAACATGAAGTATACATTAAAGTGGTGAAGGGGCTGGGTGTAAGGGGTTGGTGTAGGTGCCAACTAGAGCTCCTAGTGGATCGGATCAGTCCAGATCCGGATCAGGATCTGCAGATTTTTAGAGGTTTGAAACAAAAACTGTATCTGGCAGTTAGAAATCTGCGGATATGCAGATCAACCGCGGATTATAGATAATACGTTCCAAAATTATATTCCGTTAGAACGGCCCTGACGAGAGCTTTCTAACAATACCAAATATGTCCATATTGGTGGAGAACTGACAGAGATATGGGGAAAATGGCACAAAAGATGGGTGTCAGATGCCAAATTTGGAAATAACGGGCCTGGGTGGTTAGATAGGACTTGAAAAAATTGAGAGAAAATATGGGGACATAGGAGGGGTATCTAGGAAAGTGGGATATATTTAATCCATGGACAATCCACCTATCTGCAGACTAGAAACTGCAGATATTATCCTCTCAAAAGCCACAGTAGAGTAGGAGTTACAGTAAATATGGGGAATTTCACCCTTATTTGCCTCAGATCTCCTGCATATCTGCAAGCAATAAATCATGTGATAAAACTGCGGATAATCCACAAATCTGTGGATATTTTCCTCTGAAAATCCAAAACCGGATCCATGAATTTCCAGATGCAGTTGCAGATATCCACAGATCATCTGATCCACTAGGAGCTGACATAACAGGGTCAAGGGTTAGTCAACTGAATGTTACCAGCAACTCAGGTTACAGGTTTAACAGAGAACAACCCAAAAGCAGAATGGAGGGGGCGGTCTGAAGGTGGACTTGCAGGGTAGGCAACTAAATGGCCCAG